TAGTTACGAAAAATAATTAAAAAAGTTTTAACAGTTGCATTTATATGTCCAGTCATTTGAGAATTATTATTACAACACTTTAGAAATTCTATTTTTACTTTTTAAATTAAGTTATTTATTAAAGATATAGCAAAAAAGAAAGCATTTTGTAATTTTTCACTATTAAAAATAAATGGCTTGCAAAAGAAATGGTAAAAAAGGGAAATTAATTATTTTATGAATTATATTTAAAAATATTTCATAAAACCCTTACAAATGCAAAATAATGGAAAGAGTCTCATTAATTTTAATAATACTGAAAATAGCAGTATTTGGTTGCCAGGAATAATTTATATTTTTTTCTACTCCCTCTACGCCCATTATCGTACATGATTCCATGACAATAAGGCCCAGTGGTTCAGGTTTCACTTAGATTTAAACTGAGTTCAAACCATTGTTATAACAATTGTAACTACGCATTTAAGCCTTGATTAACATTTTAAACTGCAAGGGCCTAAGTGATCTTTTAAATAAACATTAAAAAGCTATGGCTTTATGGCGCTTTAGTCACGGGCTGAAGTTAGCAACCGGTTTTTAGTCACGCGCCGAAGTAAGCTTTAAATAAGTTGACAGTTGTCAAATATAATACAATCGTTAAAATAAAGTGCCCTTGGGAAATAATACTAAATGTGAAAATGATTGTATTATTATTAAAAAAAAACCTAGTACCTAAACTAGATTTTTCAAAAAAAGCAATACAAATTTCGGGTGGACTCAACTTTCACAGTGAAAAACTGCTTCTATATCGGATATAAACGGTTGTTAGTCTATTTTCAAGAAATAAATTTTGATTTACACAGAAAAATTTGACCGCCGCGGCGGTAGTACAGATTCCCATTCCTAAGCGAATGGTTACTTTATTATTGTATAGATGTCGCTCTATCCATCTAAGTACAGGGTCCGGCAACCAAATTGAACGGTTTTAAAAATGCTGCTATTGAAATACTCTTGATTTAATATATGTCAAATAGTGACAGACTTGTACCTTATTGCCGAAAGTTTCGTGGCTGCTATGGAAATACTACATATTGATTTAATATATGTCAAATAGTGACAGACTTGTTCCTTATTGCCGAAAGTTTCGTGTACGATGGCAATTAAAAATTGTGTGCAGAAATTGAATCGATTGACTTTATCAATGGGATTTAGCCTCTGGACTGTCTGTATTTTGCATGGATGGAGTTTTAAATCCAGATGTAAGATTCGTCGCAAACTTCGGTCTGAAATGTGTAGAGCAATCGAGTGCCGAACTACAGAACGTCGTGGGCTGCGCTCAAACGCTTCTCTGACTCTTCCAATATTTTTGAGTACGAACTGTACGAGTTCCACCGGCAAATTTTGATTTTACACTGCCTCTTTCATTTCTCTGCGTTTGTTTGAAGGACTGGGTCAGGGTAAACGAATTTACAGCAAAGATCCGTTGATTAACCGGCCAGTTTGACATTGCACACGAAACCTTCGGCAATAAAGTATAAGTCTGTCACTATTTGACATATACCAAATCAATAGTATTTTCCATAGCAGCCTTTTTAAAACCGTTCAGTTCTGATGCCGGACCCTGTACTTGTATGAGTATAAGTATGAGTATAAGAACGTATGGCGGGCCCCATCAGCTACGAATTACACTGATCTTCCAGGGTTATTTTACCCCCTTTCGGTTCTATACTTATCCCGCCACTGCACAGCGTTACGTGTGTTTGGTAGATGCGAATTTTCACCCCGGCAGGTAATCTTCCCTAGGAGGTCGTGAATGACAGAGTCGATGGTAAAGGTCATTCCCGGAATTTTGTCGCCGGGCCGACCATACGCCCGATTTAGGCTAGTGGAGTGTAGGACAAGGAGAGACAATAGTTGGTTTTTGGGAGCCTTAAACTGACCCAAAACTAAGTACAATCCGGAATCCCCCTCAACCAGGGTAATGACCCCATTCAATTGGGGTTCATGAATGAGGCATGGGTTATTAGTACGATACTTGGACATCCTTGCTGGTCTTGTATTTCATCAGGGTCTGTCCGGTCTGCTGGAATTCTGAATCTGCTTCCCGCAGTTGTTTGTTTCACTGGGGTGTTGTTTTTACTTTCCCCACACTCTTAGAAACACTCAAAATTACTTGTTCCAGCGAAAAGGCAGTCGCTAATGGTTAGACAAATTTTACCGAATGCAACAGTCATAATTGGGTTTGTTTACTCACCAAAGCAATCCATAATTATAATTATTTAATTTAACTATTAAATAGTAGAATAACTATTTATTGAAAACGACTATTCGTTGTTTTCTTGTTGTGATAAAAATAGGTTTACGTTTTTTTTCTTATTTAACAATTAAGAAAGTGCATTTATATTTATTTTTACTGCTTTTACCATTTTTTTTATTCTTGAGAAGGTCTCGCAGTTTGTTTATTTAAGCAAATATTAGAAAATGGTTTGATTAATACATAAGATTTATGTGTTTATTAAGTACTACTTGTCACGTCCTATACTACTTGTCACGTCCTATACGCGGCGGGTTACTTTTAAGTCGTACTGCCTGTGTATTCGGTATCTTTAATCTATTTAATGTAGGGGTTCGTTAACCCTGTTCAACTCTTTTATTCTTTATTGTTGATATCTACGGATTTGTCACTTGTGAAGGTATAAACACACCCGTAGGCTCGGTGAATTCTTATTTACGCAAATAGCAAAGTGCAAATATTAAAAAACTTATCTGAATATTGCTTCTTGTTCCCTTCTATGCCGCGAGGTGGTGTTCAGGTGGGTGGTTCCGTGACTCCGGCAGGTGGGGTGGCAGTTCACTTCGCGCTTTTAAACTTTTAGATTACTTTTTTAATGCACTGACTGTATACTTGTTTATAGTTCAGAGCGGAGAAACTATCACGTCTCGACCTTAAGAGCGATGATGAGGTACTGACTTTTAGATAATAAGTACTTGTCGTAGAAAAATTATGCAACACGTTAAAAAAAAATTCTTTGCTCGTTCCTAATTTAAATTCGTGAAATGACGTTTATCAAACTTGAAACATATTATTGCATATTATCTACTCCTCTATTGACAAGCTGTAACTTTATGGCGTTTTATTCACGGGCTGAAGTTGACAACAGTGGCTTTTGGGCTTTTTAGTCACGGGTTGAAGTTAGATTTATTATAAATTGATATAAAGTTAAATAGTTAAAGTTAAAACCGGGTGACAGTAGATATATGTCAAACTTTTAATAAATAAAATTGGCTTTAAATTCAGTATTGTGTTCGTCGCAGATAAAGTATAGTATGTAATTTGTTTACAAACTTCTCTGGGCACTTGTTTTTATTAAATAAAACTTGATACATAATATATATATATGTAGGTACGTTTAAAGATTTTGTTAATTACTTTTTGTGATTAGTTTTGATCACAAAAATATTGTTTGAGTGAGGTTAGGTTGATTAGACAGTTATCAATTAGGTAAAAATCTATACCCAAATGGTCTAAATTATTTTTACAGCTTAGGCTATAATAAAGATAAAAGTAGTTTTTATTTTATGAAATATTTTTTGTAAAATAATAAAACCTTTATTTATTTTGTAAAAAAACTGTTTGCAAAGTAAATTAACTTTATTTAATAAAGTATACCTTTTTATAGATAATTTTTTATAGAAAGTGGAGTCGCAAATTGTATGATAAACCGTGGTGTCAATCAGTTTACTTGGGCCATTATTAACAAATACATTTCAAAAGACAAATTTGTATCTTTGATTAAAATATAATTTATTATTAGTTTTAGAAATCTTTTTTATAAACATCTTTGTAGCCATTTAATAGGCAAGTTTTAAAATTAAATAGAAAAAAATTTACAATTAAAAAATAAACAAAACATGGACCTATGCTAATGTAATTTCATTTTAAATTTTTTTAAATGCAAATGCAAAATTAATTTTTAAAATTTTTAACACCAAACAAAATTCTTTTTTTAGTTGGACAGCATTAAATATGTAGGGGTTTTGTTTAAAAATAATAAAATATGCCCTATATAACGTTTTCTTGGGCCATGTTATCTTTGACTCTTTTTAGTATGTAATAGAACTAGTTTATACATTTTTGGTCTTTGGAATGTTTATGATATTTTACGTTGTTTGATATACATATCATTATCATTAACACAGCGAACAAAGAATAACAATAGCAATATAAAAATAAAAAGTAAAAGTTTGGTATTTTTTTTAAGTAAAATAAGTAAAATATTAAATAAAAATGTAAGGCAGTATAGGGGCCAGGGTCAGAAAAAGTATTTTATCACCAATAATGTTAATTATTATTCTTTTTGTTATTATTATTATTATAAAGGTTAATTATTATTATATAATTTTATAAAGAAAAGTGATATCTCTTGGGGGATAATGGTTAACGCTAACGTACGCAAGTTTACCCTGTATCACTTTTGCATTAGCCTACTGTTTTTATATACAAAATTATGAAAATTAACGTAATTCTTAAGCATTTGTTTGGCAGCCACTGGTTTGGTTTCGTCGACGAACGAAGTCCCGATAAGAACCACAGTTAAACAACTTGCCGACTCTACTTAGTCTGTCGACCCAAACCGCTTACACGTTAGGTAGGTCATGGTTTAAACGAATGCAGTGGGTGCTAAACAAATGCCTATGAATTACGTTAATATTAATAAAAGCTAGCTTACTTTAGCGTGAACCTTGTTTGTTATTAATATTTTATAATTTTACAAAAACTCTTTTTAAAAGTTTTATTAACTTAAATTAACGATAAAAAAAAATTATCCAAATAAAAAACAAACTTGATACACAAAATGTTTCTATAAAATCTCTTTGACCATCGTCAGTATGTATCCTAGAGTTTAATTTCATCATTTTTAGAGAAGAAAAAGAAAACAAAAATTATGATGTAAATTAAAAAAAAACATAAAAAACACAGAGGTAAAACCAAGGGAACAAAAACTCGAAAACATACTAGTTACCTAGATAGTGTATTGGGCTGAATCTGACAATAGAGAATGTACCGTGTTCTAGATCGCAGTTACGGCGTCTCGCCTGTTCCCTGGCCAACTTCGCTCTGCGCCGCAAACAGCAAATCACCAGCAGCGCGAGCAGCGGAAATCCGAAAATGCAGGAAATTATGGGCACCACCACAGTCTCCGGAGACACTGAAACAAATTCATCATCTTCAAATTGGATGGGTCATTTTATGTTATACATTATATATTTTTAATTTACGCGTTAAGGTGCGTACTGACTTGCAACAAAACACTCCGAACGATCCAAACGCGCCGCGCGCGCTGCAACAAATTGTGCTAGTGAGAACCTCGCGCCGAACAGAACGGAACGCGCCAAACTTTTTCGGGCGATTGTCGGTAAATCGGATTTGCGCAAAGAGATTTTCGCCGAACGATTAGTTCGCAACTTTGCAGTGAGAACGTGTGTTTGCCGTGTTTGGCCTGTTTGTTTATTTAAATTAATTATTAAAAGTGCAAAGATGGAATGGAGCAGGGAAAAGTGCCTTCAATTAATAGATGAATATTTATTATGGGATGCCAAAAATGGGCTGTATTTTAATAAAAATAGATGACGTCTTGAACACTCTTTTCTTTTTTTCTTCTTCTTATTACTAACTAAAGCACTTATAATTAAAAAAGTACCAGCCGCTATTATTATTAAATCATCTGCATCCATCCTGACGAATAGTAGAGGATCCCAAGTAAGGTCGATCTTCACCCATCTGCTTACCAGATGAAAATTATATTTTATCAAATAAAATATGTTTCTGAACATAAACCAATAGGGTTGCCATAAAAAATATGATCAAGGCTAGCTATAATAAATAAAAAATTAAAAAAAAATAATTAATTTTTTAAATTTCACCGACTTGCTTGCCAAATGAACGAAATTCCAATGGAAAGCATACAACATACAGAATATGTAACAGCTAGGTTGCCTACCTTTTTCTGGTCCCTATTACCTGGTTGCTTTGTACAGGGTGATCCCCTATAATGTCGCCCCCCTTTAACTTTTTTATTTTAAGTGTCCCAAAAAATTTAAAAGTTTGGTTATGTAGGTACTAAAAAATACTTTTTTTCTACGTATAAAGAAAATTGGAAAATTGATCAGTATACAGGGAAAAACAAAAAGTTTATTTTTTTTCAATGGATCACCGTATATATGAATTTATTTTTCGATTCCTTGTAAAATTCTGAGCATAATTTATATAACAAACCATATACCTAAATTCAACCGTTTCTGAAATATTATCATTCGAAATGTCATCATTAAATGTTTTTTTAAACTGTTAGAAATCAAGAAGCCTCAGTATACCAAAATTTTTATTGAAAATAAATTACTATAGTGACATTATGTCAATAAGTGTTGTTAAATAAGTAAAAATGGCGTACTCAGACAGAGAAAAACAAACTATTTCAACTTATTATCTTAAAAATAATTTAAATATTTCAGAAACGGTTGAATTTAGGTATATGGTATGATATATGAAATATGCTTAGAATTTTACAAGGAATCGAAAAATAAATTCATATATAGGGTGATCCATTGAAAAAAATAAACTTTTTGTTTTCCCTGTATACTTATCAATTTTCCAATTTTCTTTATACGTAGAAAAAAAGTATTTTTTAGTTCCTACATAACCACACTTTTAAATTTTTTGGGACACTTAAAATAAAAAAGTTAAAGGGGGGCGACATTATAGGGGATCACCCTGTACAAAGCAACCAGGTAATAGGGACCAGAAAAAGGTAGGCAACCTAGCTGTTACATATTCTGTATGTTGTATGCTTTCCATTGGAATTTCGTTCATTTGGCAAGCAAGTCGGTGAAATTTAAAAAATTAATTTTTTTTTTTTTAATTTTTTATTTATTATAGCTAGCCTTGATCATATTTTTTATGGCAACCCTATTGGTTTATGTTCAGAAACATATTTTATTTGATAAAATATAATTTTCATCTGGTAAGCAGATGGGTGAAGGTCGACCTTACTTGGGATCTTAGACTAGAACACACCAAATGCGGGAACGCGACGAACACAGCAAATGCTCGCGAACGGCACGAACCTTCACAAACATGTTTGTGGCATTCGGCGCAGCGCGCGCGGTGCGTTTGGTTCGTTCGGAGTGTTTTGTTGCAAGTCAGTACGCATCTTTATGTTAAAGTCTTTTCTAAAATTTTACCTTATTCATCTTTTTGCAATTCATTTTGTGAAAATTCGTTTTATTATCAATGGCTATATTAATAGTTATTAATATTATTACCATCCCTCCTTTTTTGCTAGAGATGTTTCCAGGGGGTAGGTGTTGTAAAAAAAATCCCAATCTAAGGTTTACAACCGTGGATCAAATAAATATATCATCAATAGAAAAAATATTTGAAATTAGTGTTATATATAAGGGTTGTTTTCAAAAAACACCCGCCTTTGCTGTCCGTAAGTTTGAATTCCAATAACTTTGTTAAAAATTATCGGATCTTATTGATTTAAAAACCAAGTAATTGCTTTATAGCAATCCATAACATCCTTAGTTAATACAGTAAATAATTTATATATAAAATAATTAATGTTAATATACTTTTTTTTAATTTTACTCATGTCCCAGACATTTTTTCCGTTGCGTTACGTCCGTTGCGTTACCGATAGAAAATTAAAAAAAAAACATATATATGGCAACTTTTTTGGCACTCACATGATCAACAATGATGTTCGGACGTACACATTGCCCAGCTGAATTTATTTATTCAATCAGAAAGAAGATATCGGTTGAAACAGGTGCGTGTAACGCGAATGTAATAATTGTTTGTCCGCTAAGTTACTCAAAAAAATAATAAAAATAAGGTAAGAAAAAATACTATTTTTCATGTTTATGTTTTTTTTAGGGAACTAAAGCTCATTGAGAGTAATTAATGTAATGTCTTATTATTATTTTTTAAATATGGTTTCACAAAACTTTGTCCACTGCGTTACCGAGCAATGGAATTTAGGGTAAAGCAATAGATTTTTTCGACAAAATTTACCGTCGCTTTTATTAAAAGTAGTTTATGATAAACCAATTTAAAATTATTTGTGATTACAACTCATGATATAGATTACATCCAAAGGAAAATTCCACGCAATATACAAGTACTAAAAGGGACGAAAGACCTTCACCAGTCAAAGGGTGTCTATAATTTAGAAATCTAAGTTGTTATTCTGCAAGTGAGCACCACTACAAGGGATTTTGTTTATGCATTACTCTAAAGACGTACCACCCTATATAGTTTCTTTTTTACGTTATCTGATTAAGTCCTTTGTGTACCCCAGTCCGTTGTGATACCAATGTCTATTTCGTTACTTTTTTTAGTTTTTGTTAAAAAAAATCCTTAAAATGATTTTACTATCACTTGGTAATACCTGTTTATAAATTAGAGTTTAACTCACTAATACAGTGACTAAAAGAAAATATTAATGGTATTGTTTTTTTAACAAAGAATCGGAATGGTGTCTTTTAAAAAGTAACTTAACTAACATAAATATTTAAAAAAGGCATACAATTTTTAATAAAAAATAAAATAAAAAATTGGATTGAACTAAGTACATTTTATTTCAAATTATTTTTATAACAACTTTTTTTATTGAATTAAATTTTGGATTTCAAATTGGTAACACAGTGGAGATATATAAAGCTAGCTAAACACATTTTTCTGAAAAAAACGTAAAAAAAAAAATAAAAAGTGCACTGCCTGTCTTAAATGTAAGTAAAAAACTCTAAACATTTAAAAAAATCCAACCAAAAGTCAATTTAAGCAAAAAAAATGTTGATCTTCATTTTCCTGAAAGCGGGTGTTTCTTGAAAATGACCCATATAAAAGATCACTTTACACAAAAGTTTTATCTATTTCTTATTTATTTTTTTTATTTATTTATTTCTTAATGTATAATGTATTCAGGGTGCTTTAATTTATTATTAAATAACTTATAAAATTATTTTATTAAAATATCCTTCAGACCCTACAAGCAAAAACATTGTTTTAGTTGGAAATTTTAATGTAAATTTTTATCAAATGACAAAAACTGTTTTTAACAAACTTACTTCAAACCTTTGGTTTCATACAAATGATATATGAACCCACAAGATTTAATTACTGTATTGATAATGTGTTCATGAATTTTCAAAGGGATTCTAAAGCTTGTATACCTGTTTGTCAGAAAATATATGGGCCAATTATTAAGTATACTATAGTAGTAAGTATACTTATAGTAGTAAGTATACTTATAGTAGTAAGTATACTTATAGTAGCATTATAGTGACGAAAACTGATATTACCACTTTAAATGAGTGGCAATAACGTTTAAATAACTAAATCTACCACGATACAGTTAAAATATATCCATATTATATTAGCATAGTTGTAATCATGTGTTTGCACCATCAGAATATACTTTATAGTTTTATAACTTTTTGGTGTATTAGTCCGGTATCTGAAATGTTATGACCACTTTTGACACCACCTTAAAGTTGTCTAAACTTTAGAGTGGATTATGAATAGTAACTGTAACCAAATCACATCAGTATTACTTTGAAGTGGAAGTATAGTAGTAAAGTGGGTGTATCATTTTTGGTCACGTTTTCGGAACTTTTCCCAAACCTTGAATGTGGCAAAACTTGATTATATAATTGCGGTGGTGATTGCCACGTTCTTGCTACATGCTTAAGTGATTTCCACATTTCGTATAAAATTACCACTTTAAAGTTCCCTTCTTTAAAAGCAGACATGTTTACAAATAATCGCCATTGTAGGGAAATAAATGCGTATACGCATTTATTTCCTATAGTTTTAAACGAATAATTTTGGTTATTACCGCACCATATTTAACACGTTAATACGTTTCAGGTGACCAGAAATAATAAAAAAATTATTTTAGGCCTCTAATTAAATAATTTTAAAATTTTAAAAAGTTTATAGATTTTTTTTATTCTTTTTTATTACCACATATTTAAACAGGGCATGCTTATATTTCAAGCTTTGATACCCATGATTAACAGTAAAATTTAATTCATGTTAATTTTATGTCTGCGGATTATTTTAATTCTAGTTATTATTTGCAAGTTGTACTCTTACAATATTATAATTTAGTGTTAGTTTAATATCCAGTCAGAGAAAGCAAAGATAATAAGATAAATAATATGCTGGAAAGAGACGGGGATAGAAAGTTATGATTAAGTTTTGGCCACTATACCTCCACGTTACTGACACTAAAAAAGTGTTCCCCATTTTAGTTACTTCCACGTAATAGAACCGTTTCTACCACGTGGCAGAGATTTTGGCAATATACTTTCATGGGCGCCCTTATCTGGGGGCAAGAGGGGGCATTTGCCCCCCCCTGGAAAACTCCAACCTAACTAATTTTAACAGCGGAATATTTTGGTAATATTACGATGTTATTAAAAAACATACGGTAAAAAGTCAAGTTGACCTTTTAATGGATATGTTCGAAAAAGATAGACAAGATGCAGATCTGTATTTTCCACAATGTTTAAAAAATGTCAGGAAATAGCAAACGATCTTAATGTTGAAATAAAGTTCTCTTAAAGGTATTCATATCAGTAAAGTCATTACAGCCTAATTAATTCTCATGTTAGTTTTGGCTAGAAAAAAAGACAAGGGGACAAGAAATAAAAGATACTTTAAAGTTCAGGATATTATAGTACCAGAAATCTCTCGAGACACAAGGCATTTATCATTTCAAAGAGGGTAGTTAAATCCGGAAAGAATTTAGATAGGTCGGTCGATTTGGTGGGAAATTTAGGATAGAAAGCCATTTATTCGCAGTTCTGTGTTACTTTCAGATAAGTTTAGCAACAAAAATAATAAAAATAATCCACCAACCTCAAAGCGAATTTTAATGGTTTCGACATAAAACGTGTGATTTGGGTAGAAGAAATAAAAGTAACAAGTTTTTGTTAGTAAAATAGTATTAATCATTTAAGTTAACCTTAAAACAAACTTGGCAACTCTGTGTGTCCAATAAGTTGATATTCTACACAAAGAAAAATTTTCATATTTTTTTTACAGTTCTCTCTCTCTCTCTTAATTTTTCTCCACTATAGTATGTATACATCCGGAGTACCATAAGCCTCTCCCTCAGTAATGGAATTGGTCTAAGCCGTTGTGGCTCTTTTAACCAGTCACAAGTAGATACATGTGAAATTTCAAATCTTGAAACATCCACTACATCATTTGCACAAATCACAAAATTCCTCGCTGAAAGGACAAAGCTTGCGATATTGTCGAGAAATACCGGTATATTTCTATACCGGGAACCCCATTTTATCCTTCCTGGGTCAAAGTCAACTATTTTCAGACTTTTTCATGGAGCGATGTACACAGTTTGTGTAAAAAATGTTTGACTTTTTAATATGAAACATTCATTAAGTTGTTGTGCTATTTTCATTATAAATACCAACTACTATTGAATAAATACATAATAGTATATTAAAGAACTAATGTCATAAGACGTCATTATGTCGCACGCGGACAATTTATAAAACGAGAGATGAAGGAGCGAGTTTTGTAATGGACGAGTGCGACAAAAGGTCTTATGACATGAGTTCTTTATGCTTTTATATATATTATCTATTTTGCAAAAATTCTATAAAAAAATTAATTTTATGGCTTAAATTCAATTTGGTAGAATTTTACTTTAGATAGTTGGTATCACAGTAATTGGTTTGACAGTTAATGCCAAAATCGATTCGCCATGCCGTCCTTAATTTACTTATTTACAAAAAGCGGCTGTTAATATTAAAGAATAAGAAAAGGATTTACTTTGGTGTTAAACAAAATATTATAAATATTAATATTATTAATAAAAATAAAGTCTCCCAGAACGCAAAATAGATAAAAGTTTACTAAAGTGCATTTGATTTGATTTGCTCTTAGTTCAATATAAACTTATTTGAGCAGTGGAGAATCCTGGCAAATTGGATTTTTTGTTATGCATAGAAGAAGAAATATGTGTTTTTATTAAAAAAATATTGATAATAATAATGGAAGGTTTTTTTAAAAAATGTCCCAATTTGATAATTGACTGAATCTACAACTATATTTTTAGTCTTGTAAACAAGTTAATAGGCAAATATTTTAAAATAGAACGATGTAAATAAAACAGTCGTAAACTCTCCATCTATTTTTTTCCACGTTTAATGACCCAAATGTATACAAATAAAAGTGCCAGGACAAAAAATGTTGGAAAACAAATATTAAATTATTTGAAAATGATCGAATCCACTTGGAATGGCACTCAGTAAGTCTTACTAGACCTTTTGGACCTTTTTTAAATATATTTGTGTGTTTTTACAAAAATTATAATAATAAAAAAATGTTTTTATTAAAATAAAATAAAGTCAGTTTTTTTCTATATTAGTTTGAGAGTGAATATTAACATAAATTATTTGTATCAGAGATAAAGAAGATTTGTATTGTGGTGGGACTTTTGGTGTGTAGCATAGTGTCGTAATATAGTTGTTATATTACTTTAATTAATACACTAACGTTTAATATACGCTAAAGAAGTATCGGGTTTTCGCAACGCGCGCGCCATCTGGTGGACTTCGAATGCATTGCGTGAATTTAAGAATTGTCAACAATACATTTAAAGCACAGATTATCATATAAAAAATATGTAGTTTTTTTACAAAAGAGAGGAAGGCAGAAGTCTTACTCGACAAATTTTGTTCAATTGCACAGCTAAATCGCGCACGTTATTTTTGTTTTACGTTGCAAGGAAAAAATTAAAAAACTTTGAATGTACTCGATTTCGATTGATTATTCCTTATATCATTGATTAAGAAACTCAACGCTTAAATGCTTGTATAGTTACGTTAGTGTGTGTATTTTATCAAAGGGATCATTGTGAATTATTGTGTTTTTAATTGAGGAGCTTGGAAGTAAAACGGTTCAAGTGCACTTTTTTAAATAAATGGTCTAAGTGCAGAATATCACACCTAAAGAATATTCTAACTTAGTGGTAAAATTATATAAGTACATTTTACATTCCCTGGCGCCATTTCTTATCGTCTTTAAAAACCTGTCGAAATATTTTAAAATATATCTTTGGTAAAACGATTTAAGTGCACCTTTTACTGCTAAACATAGGCTATTATCTATGCTGCTAAAGCCTTGACAAGTATTTTAAAACATGTCAAGTGATTACGTGTTTTCACAGATATTTTTCAATGTTAGTCCCTACTGACATTGATCTGACGGAATAGAATCGGCCATAGGATGTCGGCCAGCAGACGTCGGATTCTGATAATGAATAATACTTTTTGTTGTAAAACCCAAATTTTAAAAAATAAAGTTTTGTTCTAGTACAGTAATTGCATTTAAATCATTTTACCACTAAATTTTGTCTTACATGCATGACGATTTAAGTACATTTTTGTAAAAAAAAAACAAAAAAGCTAAATTAAAAAATTCCTTTTTCTTTATAATCCTTTTTTGTCTTAAAACAAAACTAAAATATTCACACAGTTTTTTAAACTCTTTTCTAGAATTTTAAAATTCAAGTTAACTTTAAAGCCATTTATCTCAGAACTAACAAAAATGAACTTAAACCCTTATAATGGTATTTTACCAACGCTTTTAATAATGCTAAATGCTGTTTAAATTTAGACGACTTATTTGTTTGACGATTTTTACTGAATTGAAATGTTTACACTTTTCTCGTTAATCACTACTAAAATGTGCATTTTTTGTATCTAATAGGTACAATATTTACAGAGACTGTATGCAATTTATTTCTCCATTCAGATTAACACTGTTTATTGGAAAACCGGTAAAAACTCAACCCAGGATTTCCTCTCGAAATACACCCAACAACACAACAAATCGAGCCATGGTTTTTTTTTAATATTTTTTAACATTTTCCCGCTTTATTCTTAAAAATACTCGTTTGTAACATAAGCGTTTGACAGATTACCTATTAAAAGTTATTCTTTTGTTACGATGATAACAGCCGAGTGGTGGCGCTACTAGCGATACTTCTTTAGCGTATAGTTTATTAAACAACGATATCTAGAGAACACGTTGGCATCTGTCTGTCAAGTATATCTTGTCAACAGTATAACTATGATAATGCCTATTATGATACATAGTACCTATAAGCAGCATTTTAGTCTTGACATATTATTGTTTACGTTGTCAACAGTTGACAACGTAAACATTAATATGTCAGTTATTGTCAAATACATAAAAGTCAACTTTTTGTCGTTAGGTTAAAAGTGCAATAGTTAAGTAGAATGTCAAGCGACGAAGATGAGGAGGAACAGAAAGGAGAGGGTGGAGAGGGAATCGAAATCTACCCTTACGGAGAATACGAAGGCCAACGTGACGACCAATTGGATAGACATGGATTTGGAAGTGCTCTACTCCCCAATGGAGACATATACGAAGGATATTATCTGCATGGTAAAAGACACGGTAAAGGAATGTACTGCTTTAAGAACGGGGCGAGATATACTGGTAACTGGAGGAAAGGACTTAAGCATGCGCAAGGAGTTTTCTTGTATCCCGATGGGTCGAAGTATGATGGTGAGTGGAGAAAAGATTTTAAGCATGGGCATGGTACATACTATTATATAAATGGTGATACTTATGAAGGTGCGTGGTGGAAAGGTTTTAGACATGGTTTGGGCACATATCTCTTTAAAGAGTTTAATGTTACACACCATGGAACGTGGAAAGATGGTCGTATGGAAGGACCAGGCATCTATAACTACCCTTACTATAAATACCACGGCAGTTTTGATAAGAACCTTCCAAAAGGTCCTGGTTGTTTCGTATTTGATGGCAAAATAATGCAACATGGTTTCTATGTGAACGTAAGAGACCCCAAGTTCGATTATGTCGGGGTTGAAGAGTTGGCTTTGGAGCAAACCAAAGAACCGGACGTTGTTGAAGATAGAAGCAATCCAAGAGGTATTGTACCCATATGGAGGGCGAGAAATGTCACTACATTTAGTAAAGATTTGCTTCCACCTGAACCAGTCCCTATACCTGTCAAAGATTCCGAGGAATCATTCATTGATATTATCGATTACCTTCAAAAGCAGTATAAAGAAGATAAGAAGTTTCAAGAAGAGGAGGATCACCACCCCCCTCCTCCTACTTCACCTGTACCACCGGAGTTACTTATTGAAGATTTTAACTTTGATGATATTGCTCCGTCAAATATAAATCCATTACCATAATTATTATTTAAAATTAGTGTTTGATATTGTTAATAAATATTAATTACATTGTACTTTTTGATCAATTTAATCAATCATTATGAATTGGTTTTTGTTTCCATATAAATGTAACGAATCCCTAAAGGTAAAATATATATACGAAACACAATATTTTACATTTTGCGGCCTAATAAATTTATAAGCAGGAAACTACGTGAAAACAAAACTTTATACCACAAATAATGGTCGCAAAGTTAGGTCGGTCGTGTAAATATCCGACCTAAATTTTCACCGACACAATATTATTATTTATTTAAGTTAGTGTGGCGTAACACCATGGTTATATTATAAAAAGTGTATTTTGAATATATCGCTTTTTAAAATAAAATATATGGGTCATTTTCAAGAAACACCCGCTTTCAGGAAAATGAAGATCAAATTTTTTTTGCTTAAATTGACTTTTGGTTGGATTTTTATAAATGTTTAGAGTTTTGTTTACATACATTTAAGACAGGCAGTGCACTTTTTAATTTTTTACGTTTTTTTCAGAAAAATGTGTTTAGGTAGCTTTATATATCTCCACTGTGTTACCAATTTAAAATCCAAAATTTAATTCAATTAAAAAAGTTGTTATAAAAATAATTTGAAATAAAATGTACTTAGTTCACAAACTTTTGACTCCAATTTTTTATTTTATTTTGTATTAAAAATTCTATGCTTTTTTTAAAAATTTATGTTCGTTAAGTTAAATTACTTATTAAAAGAAACCAATCCGATTCTTTGTTAAAAAAACAATACCATTAATATTTTCTTTTAGTCACTGTATCAGTGAGTTAAATTCTAATTTATAAACACGTATTACCAAGTAATAGTGTATAAAAATCATTTTAAGTATTTTTTTTAACAAAAAAAGTACCGAAATAGACATTGGTATCACAACGGACAGGGGTACACAAAGGACTTAATCAGATAACGTAAAAAAGAAACTATAAAGAGTGGTACGATTTTAGAGTAATGCATAAACAAAATCCCTTGTAGTGGTGCTCACTTAGATTTCTAAATTGTAGACACCCTTTTTCTTTGACTATAAGCTGGTGAAGGTCCCTTTTAGTACTTGTATATTGCGTGGAATTTTCCCTTGGATGTAATCTATATCATGAGTTGTAATCACAAATAATTTTAAATTGGTTTGTCATAAACTACTTTTAATAAAAGCGTCGGTAAATATCCACTTTGTTGTTGAAAAATTCTATTGCGTTACCCTAAATTCCATTGCGTTACCATAAGGTAACATAATGGACTCAACGCAGTGGAAAAAGTTTTGTGAAACCATATTTAAAAAATAATAATAAGACATTACAGTCATTAATTACTCTCAATGAGCTTTAGTGCCCTAAAATAAACATAAACATAAAAAATAGTATTTTTTCTTACCTTATTTTTATTATTTTTTTTGAGTAACTTAGCGGAAAAACAATTATTACATTCGGGTTACCCGCACCTGTTTCAACCGATATCTTCTTCCTGATTGAATAAATAAATTCAGCTGGGTAATGTTTACGTCCGAACATCATTTGTTGATCACGTAAGTGCCAAAAAAGTTGCCATATATATGTTTTTTTAATATTCTATCGGTAACGCGACGGACGTAACGCAACGGAAAAAATGTCTGGGACATTTGGGACAATTTAAAAAAAGTAGATTAAAATTAATTATTTTATATATAAATTATTTACTGTATTAACTAAGGATGTTATGGATTGCTATAAAGCAACACAAAGTTCTGGTTATTCAATATTTAAAAAAAACATGCATGTAAGTTTTATAAAAGCTAATGGGACATGCGAAAATGTGTGTTTCACAAGTTTCAAAATTAAAAAAAAAATTATTCTGAAATAACTAAACAAACATTTTCTGAAAGAGTTTACTAAGGGCTTGTTAGGCTTTCACTTGGTTGTTAAATCAGTTTAACTCACTAATACAGTGACTAAAAGAAAATATTAATGGTATTATTTTTTTAACAAAGAATCGGAATGATGTCTTTTAAAAAGTAACTTAACTAACATAAATATTTTAAAAAGGCATAGAATTTTTAATAAAAAATAAAATTGCAGTCAAAAGTTTGTGAACTAAGTACATTTTATTTCAAATTATTTTTATAACAACTTTTTTTATTGAATTAAATTTTGGATTTCAAAGTGGTAACACAGTGGAGACATATAAGGCTAGCTAAACACATTTTTCTGAAAAAAAAACGTAAAAAAAATTAAAAAGTGCACTGCCTGTCTTAAATGTAAGTAAACAAAACCCTAAACATTTATAAAAATCCAACCAAAAGTCAATTTAAGCAAAAAAAAATTTTGATCTTCATTTTCCTGAAAGCGGGTGTTTCTTGAAAATGACCCTTATATTAAAGCACACTTTATTAGGCTAGTTCACTCGATAAGCGCATACCAGGAATATTTTAAGATAAAAACACAAAATGAATTTTTTAGTTAGGCCGCTTTTGCAGTATCAATTATCTTTCGAATTAAGAAAAAATATCAGTGGTTTCTTTTTGGACCCTAAGGACCCATTTTAATATATAACATTAGTTACATAACAACCTGTAGACTTAAAAACTAAATATCAAATATTTTACTGGTATAATATTTAAAAAAAGTAAGTTCATTTTTGATGAAAAAAATCTCATCAATCAGTTTAAACTGAATAGTTTATGCAATGCAAAAGTACTCACCGGTCGGGTAGATAAGGACAACAGGTCTTTTATTATGATGACCCACATGGCCGACTGAAGCCACATTTGACGTACCGTCCGCTTGGCTGGCCATTTTATTAAGCTGTGAGCACCCAGGCTTCTGAAAATGACAAAGGAAATATCCATTATAACACGTGTGTGCTTGCTGGATCTTGGGCTCTTGTGTGTTCCGCTATATCGATATTGATAGTTTTATAAATTGAAATTGTTAAATGGATGTCTTCGATTTTTACTACTCGTGTTATATTACATAAGCGGAATGTGAAATATTAGATGCGCTAAGGCTGTTAAATTTAGGAATTTTAGAAGCTATTTGTTAAAGTATAAAAATTTTAATAAAAACCTTAATTATTATAAATTATTTTTCATTATCAATTTTGCAGGAATAACAGCTTTACACAAAATAGAATAAAATGGAAATATTAATTTTAAAATTTCCAATGGAACACCCTATTTTTTATTTCAGATTCGGATCATTCGATAAAAAATAGGTTTGTCTAATAGTTATTTATCTCATTAGGTTAAGAAGTAAGGCTTTTTGTGATAAGCTCAAGGTTTGAAGGCCGACGCGTAGCGGAGGCCTACAATTGAGCGAAGCACAAAAAGGCACTTCTTGGCCGAATGGTATACAACATTTTATCTTCAAAGCACTTTATATAGGTCAATTTAATTCAACATCAAAGCGGCCTAACCTCACTTTTTTAGAATCTCATTTATTTATTAGCTAAAGATTACATTAAATGTACAACAATTATTATTGCTTTTAGAAGCAGTAATAGTTTGACAATACCTAGCAACATGATTTAAGTAGAAATGGATTTTTGCTATTACATTGAATTCAATTAATTGTTTAATAAATAGGTAGGTATCTAATTTCAATTTGTTTGGATTTTTATTTAAAAAATAGGTAGTTTGGAATGTTTAAGCTGTGTTTAACATTTAATTTCACTAAAAACTTAAAGCAAATTAAAACTTATGGCGGGTTTACGAGTCACTCGCGTGCGTTTGAGGTTTGCGTGCGTTTCCTGGGCCTTTGCGTCAACGCGTTCTTCCTGACGCGACCCCATTTACGAGTTTCAAAGGCGCGCGTTTGCTCACCTTCGAAAGTCAGCTGGTTCCTCAGTGCGTATGTTTTGATTTCGTCAGATGTCTCATACTTTGGGAAAATGGTCCTATTTTTAATTTGTCGAACCGCAATATTAATGAGTTTAGCTCGTCTGCTAATTATGTTTGACACAACACTTCTCCCACGCATGCTACGCGGCTGATGCCATTGGCTCGCCATGTCACGTGATATCGGCTTCAACGCGCGCGATCTTTTTACGGCGTAAAGTTTTTTCCCCGGATAAAAACCAAGACGCGTCAAACTGGCTGAGATTTGGCGCACGCGTCCTTTTAACGCACGCGAGGTCACTTATAAACGATCCCATTGCCCACCATGAGTTAAATCTGTTGCGCGCGTTGGCTAGCTCGCGTAAACGCGACCTCCAAACGCACGCGAGTGACTCGTAAACCCGCCATTAAAGATAATTTAAATTGTAGAAAAAGAATCGTGCGTTTTCTTGGTTGCCTAACCTCATTTTTTGTTTTATTATTTATATTTAATTTTACAATAATTTAATGAAAAATATTAAACATTAACAGTAAAACAAACAAATTAGTGCTTATTATAAATAAATTAAATCAGTTTAGCACGTTAATTTCTTAGAAAAGGATTAATTTGTCAAAACAATACCCCTAGCGAGAAAAAATCGAACTAATTACTTGCCTCATAAAATTTTTTGTCGGCCTAGGCCATAACAAGGTATTTCTTTAGCGAATGTTGACAACAATAAAGTTTAAATTATAGACCGCGTAGAGATAAAACATTTTTTCATATTTGTAATACCTAGATAGCGCTGTAATGAAAAAAAAATCAATTTTGTTCGATTTTTCTTCTGTATACGATTCTGCAATAATTTTTCTATAAAAATATCACTTTTTTTGGTAATAATTATCTTATTAAATTAAATCTGATTTTTTTTAAGTACCCACGATTTTTTAACTAATATTTAAGTTTCCTTTGGTTTAAGTTTTATACATTATTTCATTCGATAATTACACTATGTAACAAAATTTGATTTTTGTTTTGTTTATTGGATTTTTTTGTTAAATTATCAATATTTGTGTGCCAAAAACTATTCTAACTTAATTTAAAGAATTTAGTAATAAGTTTTTATTTTTTAAGGGGTATTTATATAATATAATCAACCCAGTTTTATCAAAAACAAAAAAAAATATTGACAAGAAATGGCAAGAAATTCAATTATTATTTTAACAAAACATACAATCTAGAAAAATATTTTCTTAACATAGATTTTAAATCTTGGCTGAAAAATGAATTTTAATACGACTTTTTAGTTATAAATAATAATTATTATTGAGGTATAAAGAAACTATTTATAGTTTAGCATTATTTAATCAATTTAGTTCGAGGATTAATTTGGAAACTTCCTTTCGGTAAGCAGTTAGTCATAATGGATTTTTTAACAGTGGAAGAAAAAATAGAAATGATTTTGATTTATGGAGAAACAGGCAGGAATTTTGATGATACTGTTAATATCAACGCTCAGTGTTTTCCGGATAAAATTCGATCACGTACTTCATTTAACCGTACAGTCAAGCAGTTTACTACAAACGGGAGTGTTCAACCGAAAAAAAGAGTTCGTCGAGCAACAGTCACAGGTGGAAATAATGAAATTAATGTAATAGCAGCAACGGCCGCTAATCCTCACGCAAGCACACAAGAATTATCTAAAAATAGGGTGTTCCATTGGAAATTTTAAAGTTACCCCCTGTTCCCCCTATAAGGAGGAGAGAGACGGCTTTCTGCAGAATGGGACCAACCCACACCATGATGAAACTGAGAAAAAAGCTATCAAAGATTTTAATAATTTTAAAATTACCTGTTAATTTTATGCCGATTTTGGACTTACGGAGGTTTAAGGGATATAATTTAATAATTTCATCAGGTGGATTTTGTGATGTTATGTGTAAGGGTGACGAAAAAAATGGACTTTTGTTGGTTGGTTCCTTTCTGCAATTTATGAAAACTACTATCTGATGTATGTATGTATTTAAAGAAAAGCGACAATTATTTATTTCCAAACAAAATACAACTGATATTACTATTATAATGGTAATATGAATTAATTTTGATTCTATTTGAAATTCGTCCACATCATCTTCCAACCCCACCTCATCTTGTAAGCTACCAAAGAAATGCATCAAGACTTTATATTTTGAAGAAGCTGGAAATCTTTAAAGACTTTGGTAGTGGGTCTACCAGCCTGCTTTTTTACAAAAAAGATCCAACCCACTTGCAGATATTCTACAGATTCTAATTCTGGATTAGTAATCCACACTATTATTGAATGTTGGTTGGTTCAATGATTAATATATTTCACTACACTTGCATTTTGGCTATGACCTATTTTGCAGATAAATTATACATACTTAATTGGTTCATAGGCTAAATATCTCGATTTTTTTGGTTTTGTGGGTTGGTTCCTTTCTGCAGAAAGGCGTCCAATTGGTCTTCCAACAATGTGTATTGTTAGAATTACCTTAGGTAATTTACCTATGCATTTTAAATACCTACAGGGGATCAACAAAAACAATTTTAAAATATTTAAAAAGTTTATTTTTTAAATAAATACAAAATAAATAGGAACCTAGTTTTTTAAACTTAAAAAAATGGGTGAAAAACTTTGTCTTAAGAAATAAGACAGGTAGGTAAGTTTAAAAATAATATTAAAAACTTAAAGAATTCAATTATCCTAGAGTATACCTAATACTTGTGCATCTAATGAACATATGTAGGTACTTACCTTGAAACGTTTCTAGCAAATGATTGAGGTTAAACTTACTTAAAAAATCGCTTACAAATGCATTTTTACATGTATAACTTCCCATTTTAACACTTACATTGTTTATAATAACTTTACAGTTCACGACGTTTACGCTTATACAAAAATATAACATAGAATAGGAATAATTCCGAATTAAACTGGTAAATAGCAAGAAACTTCAAGAGATACCTCACTTAGCGGCCATTTCGCATGCTAATTGTTGCTTCTTGCGTGGGTGTCGCGTCGGTCGAAGTACGCGTCTTCGTTTTCATACCCGCGATTTAATTCAATTAATCGAACGGATTTTTGCGGCAACATGAATTAAGGCTGGTTTTACAGAGTGCACGATTATAAACGGTAATGATATCGCTAAAGTAATTGATCGATATCGGTATGAGAGAGAAAAGGATAAATTTATCCCACTTATACTGTATTGTTCCTGTGGCTAGATGTTATACAGTTCAACCAAAAATACCCTATTGTTGCCATCACAATATAATGTTTTCAGCAATTCTCTATATTTGTTTTGACTAAATATTTTTTCAACAATATATATTTAGTTAGCGCAGCAATGACATATTTGTAATTCAAAAATACTAATGTCAACAATAACTCTACCAATTTAATATATTTTTTATTAATCCGCATTACCATATATTTAGTTATTGCGACAATAATATATGTAACTAAATATAATTGTTGTCGTTACCAAAGTTATTTCTTTGAGTGTACTATCTGAGATATTTCAAAGTTTCAAGTTAACTGACTCACCCTGTATATATAATTGTATACAATTTTTAAAAGTAGAAAGTAAGATTAAAGCCGTCTGACAGAGTAATCACAGTTTTAAAATATTTACTATGTTGGTATGTATTATTTTTATTTACAAATTTATTATTTTATCAGTTTTTTAAGTGGGTTTCGTTTGAATAGTATGTTTTAGTTTAAATCAATTTAAAAAAAATGTTTTCTTCTACCAACAATTTTTTGAGTTGGGAAATTTTTATCCCAAAGAGTTTTTAGTGCAATGGTAAATTTTATTAAACCGCTGGGATAAATAATTCCCACTTAATTTAGAAAAAGTGGAATTCAATTTTACCGAGTTGTATTATATCGAAAGATACCTACATATTGTGTAAAAAATTATTGTGATTTATGGAAAGGTGCAAAACATGCTTTGCAT